AAAAATGAGTTACTGAAAAAAAGGAGGAGGGGGGGGGGCTTTACTCTACACCTCGATCTACACAATGGCGCCTGCAGACTCCTCCCATGCATCGCAGTTAATGTCATCGTTACATTAGCACAAATAAAAGATTTTCACGGCGATCTCTGAATTAAAGCATGCAAATAAATGTGAGCCCGGTGCCGTGCCGACCCCATCGGTGTGAATAAAGGGCGAACGGAGCTGATAAAGGAGCCACATGTTGCTGCTATGGAGTCTGCTGGGCTTCGTGCATCAATCCGAGAGCCAACGTAAGCCCACACATGCCTGTTCGGGGCGATCATCCCCGTCATAAGGTGCCCCCACCCGATCTTTAAACTGGGGACACAGAGGGAGGGGAAAGGGGCATCGATCCAAAGGGCACATAAAAGCCCGACCAGGGCGATAAATCCCAATCCGATCATTAAACGCCCCACTGGGGACACCTAGGCAGGGAAAGGGGCATCAATCCCAAAGGGCTCACAGGTTATAAAATGTCCCCATCTGATCAGTAAACTGGGGACACAGAGGGAGGGAAAGGGACATCAATCCCTATCACTGGATTATAAAATGTCCCCATCTGATTAAACTGGGGACACAGAGGGAGGGAAAAAAGGGACATCTCCATCAAGGATGTCCTCATCTAATCATGAAACTGGGGGCACAGTGGGAAGGGAAAAAAGGGCATCAATCCATACCACCGAATTATAAAATGAACACATCTAATTAAACTTGGTAGACGGGGCATCAATGCAAAGGGAACAAAAAACCCCGATAGGGACATGGTATGACCTGTGATAGGGCTCCATTCCCCCTATCTGAATAGTGAAATAGGGACACATAGGGAGGGTAAGGGGCATCAATCGCGATCACATCATTAAACTGGGGATACAGATGCAGGATACGGGGCATCAATCCTGATCACAGATCATAAAATGTCCCTACTGATCATTAAATTGGGGACACAGACTCATGGAAATCGATCCCATCACAGATCATAAGATGCCCCCATCTGATAAAACTGGGAGCCACAGTGAGGGAAAGGAGCATCACTCCCCATCACAGATCATAAAATACCCCCACCTGATCAAAAAAACCGGGGGCACAGGGAGGGAAATGGACATCGATCCGTATTACAGATCATATCTGATTAAACTGGGGGCACAGGGAGGGAAAGGAGCACCCTTCCATATCACAGCTCATAAAATATCCCCATCTGATCAATAAACTGGAGAAAGGGGGAGTCAATCCCCATCACAGATTATACAATATCCCTATCTGATCAATAAACTGGGGGCACAGGGAGGGAAAGTGGCACCGATTACAAAATGTCCCCCATCTGATCAATAAACGGGGGGGGGTCAGATTCAGGGAAAGGGGGATCAATCCAACAGGCACACATCAATCCATAGAACAGATAAGACCCGATCACTAAACTGGGGACACAGAAAGGGGCAGCAGCATGATCACCCTCAGGCTCCGATACAATAGAGGCTCAGCAACAGATGCAGGACGCCCCCCAAATTGCCATTTACCTGTCCATTGGTCTTGGAAGGCGACGCAGCTACAGCTTCCCCGGGCTTCTCGGCGGTGGCGGCTTCTCCTTTGGCTCCGGTCTTAGAGAACTGGGCTCCCATTGCTGTCTGTATATCCAACAAAAATGCAAATCAGGTACGGGTCACCCCCCAAAAAAAAGGCTTATTACAATGTGTGATGTGGAAAGATCGGAACCCAACACACAATCTAGAGAGCGGACTAGTAGATAGAAGCTAGCGGAGGGCAGGCACACAAGGAGAAGGAAACAAAGAGATGTGACTGGTGTCTGAAGCCTGGGCAACAATAGAGATCAGAGCCCGAGCAACGCAGCTGCAACTCCTCTTTCTGCAACAGGAGGGGAGGGAGAATACAAAGTGCAAGAGAGATATTCACCAATATAAGACCGAAGACCGGATGGAACGCCAACAACAAACAAGGCACAGCCAAAAAAAAAAAAGATTATAAATCAACAAGTCGATGCTCCTTTTTTCTTTCTTTCCGCGATGAGTTCCCCTCCAAAGTCACCATCAAATATCCCAATGGTTGCTCGCCGCGCTGGATACAACAGGAAAATGGAGAAATCTCCCCGCTCACTAATAAGATGCGGAGTCCAACGCCCAAGTGCACAGATGAATGGGCTTCCCGAGGCATGACGGCAGCCCAGCCCCGCTCCAGCCAATCACAGGGCGCCTAGACAAAGGAGGGGGGCGCGGCTTGGAATTTGGGCAGAACAATGCAGCCCCAGCATTGCAAGAATTAGAAAAAGAAAAATCTGATCACTAATACAAATCCCATATTTACCAGCAAAAGAAATAAATAAATACCTCCTAACACCAAGAGGGTAAAAGAAGGAGAGAGAGCAATGAAAGGCAAACCATTATAAATGAATCATGTATGCCCCCATCGTCCAAATACTCACTGCTTTCTTTTTGTGTGTGTGTGTTTTTTGTTTTATTATTACACAATGAGACTGGCAGCTGCGATCGCTTCCATTTATACGATCTTCTCTCCCAGCTGCTTGATCAACAGATTGGCTGCTTTTTTTTTTCTTCTTTACCTTTAATTGATGGACCTGATGGGTTTTCAGCTTTCATTTTGAGGGGATTTTTTTTTTTTTTTTTTAAAGGGAGAGATCAGATTTCTTGTGGAAAAGGGGAGAAGGTCTGCTGTCCAGATGTGAAAAGAGCACATTTCCTCTAGTGACTGCTAACACAGCGCTGGATCTGGATATTTATGTTCATTTATCTGCAGAGTCTAATTAAATGCCGCTGTCCAATTATTTCTGATTTGTTGCCATCGTTCACCCAATGGAGGGTGCTTCTTTTTTTTTTTTCTTGGCTTTGGCAGCGTGTGAAAGTGATAAAGCGATGCCACGGCGCTATGCCAGCCCCATTAGTTATTTTCAGCACATTTATAATTCCTCATTCCTTGTGCAGAGTTTTCGTGTGTGTGCTGGGGCAGCAGAAGGGTTAATCTGGCAGCTGGGATAAGGCTGGGGAAGATTTTGGGAAGAGGCTGAAATGAATCAGGGAGGAGGGAGCTTTTGTTAGGTGATGTGTATGTGAGGATCACATTCTACCCTCCTGAGAGGGTCCTGACTGCTTTGCTCAATCACCCCCCCTTCTTAAAATGACTGGCTCATTTATTACACATCATCTTGCTTTAACCCAGACTAGTCTGATTAGGGAAGGCTTTGCAGCCATCTAATGCATGTATAGTGGCTGGAAATGTGCACCACCATTGTAGCCTATGTCTTATACCTGAGCTGGCAGACCAGAGACAGTTAAAGCAGAATGGGGCCCTACAATAGGTAGCCATTTTGGCCCCACGGTCCCCTTTGAGGACTGTTATAGGCACAGGGAAGCCACCATATTTGCCTTGTCTGTACTGGTATAAGTTGCCCCGTCACACATTAAATGAAGTGATCTTTAACCAGTGAGGCACCATCCACACGGGTGGCTGCCAGCGAGAATCTAGCGACTTTTGCTGGTGGAGCATGTGAACAGCCACGGCCTGTGGTGTTTGTACTCTGTAAAAATCAAGGGTCGGGGCCGCCACTGTTCACATGTAACCATTTGAAGCCTCTAAATGACCCTCGGCACAGACATTTTGCATCCAGGGACAGTCTTTTTGCTGAGTGTCTGGCCACAGATAGTCGACCATTTTGTATGCAGCCATAGCATAGAATGCGGCTGCGTTCAGAGGCAGCGTTTACCCACCTCGAAATGCAGGAAACGGTCCACTCCAGATTGCCCATATGAATGGGGCCAAACACTATTGCCCTGGTTTGCTGCAGGAGGAAGGAGCTTATAGCTTGGCCCATTGAACATCCACCGGGCGCTTAGCTCCTGTTAAGGTTGCCTCAATAATGATCCACCTCTGCTTTAGGCCTCATTCAAACTGGGAATGCACGCCTGTAAACAGCCGATCCTGGGAGGGACAGGTGCTGCGTGTGATTGCGTACAGCAGCCTGTTCTTCCTTATGGGAGGACGCAGCTACATGCTGTCATCCGTGCAGGTACGAGTGTCCGCCCTTGGGCGCAGACAGGATGAATCCTGTCTGTGTCCAATGCAGAAACCCGTACCCGCAGTGCAGTTTGGGTGTCCGTATGACACCGTACAGCCGCGTTCCTCCATAGGGAAGAACAGGCTGCTGTGCGCTATCACATGCAGCACCTGTCCCTACTGGGATCGTCTGTTTACAAGTGTGTACGCCCAGTGTGAATGAGGCCTTGGACGTTAAAGTAGATGGAAACCCGAACTGGATGGCCTTTAGTTTGCTGAAGCACCATGTATCATAACAAATTCAATTAGCATTTTATTAAATTAAGAAAGGGTATCACATGTTTTTCATCTGTTGTGCTGCTGATCTCCTGTGGCCTCTTTGCAGCCCTTTCCTGTCTGCATGCATGCACTGCAGCGATTGGCTGTATGGCATTTCTCCTGGCGTGTTTACCGATGGCGACATTAGTACACTGCGTCTGGGTAATGTGTATTAAAACAGCCACTTGTTGCCGCCATCTGAAGCCCATGTGACAATGAATTAGCACAGATAGGAGACAGAACAATGTCACCCTTTAACAGGAACTGCTGGAGCAAGAAGCTTCCTGGCAGGATCACCAGATGTTATTTTAATAGAAGATGCAGATTTCAATAGACTGAAGAACATGACATTAACATGTAAAAGCTTAGGTGAGATGTTAGTGATTGGGGATACATTTACATCAGTGTTAAGCTGGCCATACACCGGTAGATTTCTGTGCGAATGTTCATATGAAAAATCTCATCAGAACATTCAAAGATGCCATCAGAGGCTTGTACAATGTTGTTCCAAATTGTGTTTGATTTGAACATTGGATTTAGGAATAAACCAAAATCACGCTGACTGTCAGAATCTCATTGATTCGAGAAACATTTTCCCTCCTGCTCCTCTTATATTTGGTGGGTCGCTGAGCTGAGCCCTTTAGATATTAGAAAAGCGAATGAATGTCCTGAAAAGACATTTCTTGAAGTGAGATTCTCCGGGTGCGTGGCCGGCTTTAGTGAGGGCTTTTCACTTGTTGTAAGTGGAAGAGGAGGCAGAAATAATAGGCTGAGTTGGCCATTGTGTGCTCTTTGTTTGGACTCCAGCCTGGTGGGGGTTGGAAGGGTCCAGACGCAGATGATGCACAATGGGGAGGGAGGCGAGGATAGGTGAAATGTGGGTGTGCCGTGTTAAACAATTTCATCCTGCACACTGGACATGTACAGTGAGGCTGCATGTGTGTGTGTGTGTGCCTCTGGGACACGCTGTACACAGCGGTCACGTGGAAGCCAGCTATCTTCTCCATGTCACAGTAATGTGAAGGCAATAAGGCAGCTGCATCACGGCTTCCCGCCTTCCAGCAAATTGCCATTTATTTCTGTACATCTCTACCCTGACTGACAGGGCTCTAGCGGCTGTAAACTCTGCCTGTCCTGCACTGTGCAAAGTACTGCCACCGATCCTGTTCATGGAACCGTTGCCCATAGCAACCAAGGTCTAGACCTTGGTGTCCAACCTGTGGCCCAAGGGCCACATGCGGCTCTTCAGTACTTGCTGTGTGGCCCGTTGCAGACTCCAACACTCAGTACTGGAAGCATTCATTTGTAAAGAGGCTATAAGGACAGTGATCTCTAGCAGTCTCATGTAGCATGTCCCCAGTCTCTGGCTATCTCAGGTAGTCTGTCTTCAGTCTCCAACCACTCCCGTTGCATGTCTGCAGTCCCTGATTGTCTCTTCTAGTATGTCTGAAGTCCCTTATCACCTCTTCTAGTATGTCTGCAGTCCCTGATTGTCTCTTCTAGTATGTCTGAAGTCCCTTATCACCTCTTCTAGTATGTCTGCAGTCCCTGATTGTCTCTTCTAGTATGTCTGAAGTCCCTTATCACCTCTTCTAGTATGTCTGCAGTCCCTGATTGTCTCCTCTGGTATGTCTGCAGTCCCTTATCACCTCTTCTAGTATGTCTGCAGTCCCTGGTCGTCTCTTCTAGTATGTCTGCAGTCCCTGATCATCTCTTCTAGTATGTCTGCAGTCCCTGATCATCTCTTCTAGTATGTCTGCAGTCCCTGATCGTCTCTTCTAGTATGTCTGCAGTCCCTTATCACCTCTTCTAGTATGTCTGCAGTCCCTGATTGTCTCCTCTAGTATGTCTGCAGTCCCTTATCACCTCTTCTAGTATGTCTGCAGTCCCTGGTCGTCTCTTCTAGTATGTCTGCAGTCCCTGATCATCTCTTCTAGTATGTCTGCAGTCCCTGATCATCTCTTCTAGTATGTCTGCAGTCCCTGATCGTCTCTTCTAGTATGTCTGCAGTCCCTTATCACCTCTTCTAGTATGTCTGCAGTCCCTGGTCGTCTCTTCTAGTATGTCTGCAGTCCCTGATCATCTCTTCTAGTATGTCTGCAGTCCCTTATCACCTCTTCTAGTATGTCTGCAGTCCCTTATCACCTCTTCTATTATGTCTGCAGTCCCTGATCATCTCGTCTAGTATGTCTGCAGTCCCTGATCGTCTCTTCTAGTATGTCTGCAGTCCCTTATCACCTCTTCTAGTATGTCTGCAGTCCCTGGTCGTCTCTTCTAGTATGTCTGCAGTCACTGGTCGTCTCTTCTAGTATGTCTGCAGTCCCTAATCGTCTCTTCTAGTA